TATCATTTTCGAATAACAAAAATCATAAAAAAATAGACAATGCTATAGAAGATATGAAGAGTATATCGATTATAAGTAATGTTTTTTGTGATGTTTCATTTTATTAAGTTACGATTTCTGTATTTTTATAGATTGCAACGAAGTAATGGTACTGACTCATAAAAGATAATGCACGACATACGTGCCGCACGACAAACATATTAAATTTTTAAAACATTTTTTTACTGATATGTAACAAATTTAGAATTGTTATATAAAGTGCTTTTGCATAATTTAATATTAACAGTTATCACGTATAAAAATCCATATAATTTATATATTGATGCTTAATAATAAAATTAAACGTTGACTTATTTTCTGTATACGCAGTTGTTAAACGCATATTAATTATTATCGTAATTTTTTTATATCATTTATGAGTTACATTAAATTTTTATATTTTACAAAAATACTAATTATTTATGTAAAATACATTACATCCTTGATTTTAAATACAAATTTATCTATCGAATTATTATTATTATTTAAAGATATTAATGATATGAAGATGTTACAAAGCGCAATTTTAACAAAAATGCAATTTCTTTAAGTCATTAAAGTCAAACCATTTTTTATATTCCTGATATGCTTTATTATATTGATAGTAAGATATCACTTCTTTTATAAATTGTCTGTTCACTAAGGGAAGACAATTTAGAAGCTACGTAACATACAACAGTTTCAAACGAAAAAATTAGGATGAAGACTGTAATTTTCTTATTCGGGCTTGTACTCGTTGTCGCAATTATCATCCCGACTAATGGAGGACCTATTGCCGAAACAAGTGCCGAGGCTAATCCCGAACCAATTGCCGAGGCTACGCCTGAAGCTAATTCTGAAACATTAACTGATTCTGAAGCAACACAACATCATTCAACCAATGTTAAACACTCCAAACATCATATTAAACAATAGCATCTAAGGTATAATAATAAAATTTTATTTAATTTAAAATAATTTGACTATATTTTTTAAATACTTTTTTAGTCATTTATATGTCATAATAAAGATAAGCAAACAAATTTTTTTGTATTTTGTGAGTTTATAATTTAGTAAGCAGAGAATATTCTAGTAACATTACAATCTATATTACAACATATGTTCCAATATGTTTTTTGCTTACTGGAGACTCAATTCCCCAACGGTTGAACTTCTCTGAACGGTTTCTTATCTCTTTCCAATTTTAGAATTGGAAAGAGACAATGAATAAGTTGAACCTCGGTTAAGAGTTAACCGTGAATTGTGGAACTGGGCTTAATTCATAAACTTATGAAATATTGATTATAATTATAAAATTTGATTACAATATTGCTACAGTGTTGTTGGAATATTCCAAAATGTTTCTTACTTATTAAGTCAATTATTTATTATTCATTGTTAGCAAGAAAATTAGTAATACTGCTTAACATGGAATTTAGATCATAAAATTATTTTTATAGATTTTTTGGGAAAATTGAACTCAAAGAACTATAAATAGCATTTTAAAATGTGACCTGTGAACTAAGAAAACTCAAGATGCGATAGAGCTGTTTCATTAATGAATGCGTTTCCAATGATTAAAAAATCTGTAAAATTTTGTCCGATTTGTGACAAATTTTTTAATTTATCGGATAGTGTAATTAAAGTAATTATCATATTAAATTTATAATTAAAATGATTTGTTTATATCTTTACGCAAAAATACAAATACTTAAAAAATATTTTTTTATACAGCTTTACCATTGGGTCATGTTTAATCTTGCAAATTTTTTATTTTACATATATTATTTACAAAATTATCTAAAATAACAAGAAATAAAAAAGAAAATTGTAATACATGATATAACATCTTGAAACTTTTCTTAAACATATTAGGTGTTGGAATTAATTCGTAGCGTTTTACAAGTGATGGGAAGTACTTTCATTAATGTATTTTTTAATGCTCATGTGAAATAAATAACATTCTTTCATTAAAAAACGCTACGAATTAATTCCAACACCTAATAATTTTATTACTCTAAAATTTGTGTTATCTATAAATCAATTAATAGCTTTATTAATATACAATATATTTGTGTTGTAGGAAGACGTTAAATAAACAGCGAGAAACTCAACTTTAATAGAAGAATATAACATTTTTGAATCTAAATAACGTCGAAGCTGATGACTTGGTGTTGGAAAAGCTAATACATGCACTGCACGAATTTAGCACATAATATTTTTAGATATTATTCGTATGACATGATAACATAATAAAGATACATAACAATTTTGTAAAAATTATAATTTCTAAATTTTTTGATCGTAACTGATTTTATTATTATCGATATCACAATTTAAAATATAAAATTGTATAATAAAGCAAATATATAAGATAAATAAAGCATATAAAATAAATAAGTTATTTTTTATATTTTTATTCCTACTGTATTATTCCTACTGTATTACTTTATTAAGTGTAGATATAAGAGAAAATGAAAAAAATTGTGTTTTTTTAATAATTATAAAACAGCACATATTTAAAAAAAATCATTACTTTAGAACTTTAGAACTTTTTAGAATTCTTAATACAAAAATTTATTAATAAAAATTAAAAACAGATATTTAAATAAAAAATGATATTGTCAGATAATTTTTATAAAATTAATTTAAAAAAATTAATACAAATTATATTAAACACTATACCGTCGTATACGATACTTACATTTAAAGAGCTCGTGGTGCATATATTTTTAAAAGTATTGACATCTAAAATAATGATTTTATATATATTTGAAAGATAAGATTCCAATTTGTTGTTAACCGTAAAAAAATAAAATGAATGTAATAAACTCATTCCGACCAATGACGAGGCTTAAATTCCATTAATTGCTCGTCAAAGAGTTTGGTGCTCGCATGATTTTGGTATTAAAACAATCTTTAGACATCGTAGTATCAAAATATATACATTTCCGATTTTAGTGCTCACTTAAAGCAACTAAAAATAATTAATAAGTCGCGAAAGATGCGCCATGATTTTGGTATAAACGTGACGATCGAATAACGAACTTTAGGCCGCAGCGCGACAAATTAATTATTTTCAGTCACTTTAAGTAAAATCGGAAATGTATATATTTTGATACTACGATGTCTAAGGACGTTTTCATATCAATATCATGCGAATACCGAATTTTTTGATGATTAAGTAACGAACTTTAGAGCACGGCGCGCGCTCTTTCTTTTCTTGACGTATTAATTATTTTCATTAATTTAGAGTGAGCACTAAAATTGGAAATGTATATATTGTATTTTGATACTATGATGTCTAAAGATTGTTTTCACACCAATATCATGCGAGCTTTCTAAATGTAGGTGTCGTATATGACGGTGTAGTGTTTAATACATGTTGGAATATTTGAATTAACGCTATATTTGAATTTTTTAACTCTATTTTGAAGCATTAAATTAGCACTAAAATCCCTATGTACTTATTTTGTGTATATATGCATTATACAATATATATATTTTTTTTATAGGGGTCCAGCTTGCCCCCTTTTTTTATTGTTGCTAAACGAAATTTGAGGAATTAAAATTCGGAATAGGTACTAAATTAGCACCTGAAAAACATTATATTTTTGACCTATTCCGAACTTGATTTTCGATGGTGGGGGATCCAATTTAATAAACATCAGTATCCTCAATTTTGTCGATTACAAGTAATGTTTTTCATAATAATTTTGTTTTTTTAAATCACTATTTTTAAATTGCTACATATTGTCAACGAAATAATGATGTTGAGTCTCACATAAAAGATAATGCACGTTCCGCACGATGTACTTATTCAATTTTTTAAATATTTTTTTTTAATTTTATGTGTACATCGTGCATGCATTTTATCTTTTGATATGCAACAAAGAATTGTAAAGTTAAAATTGCTGAAAGACGACTTTATATTTTTTATATCAACACATAAAAATATAATTTATCACAGAGGAACACATTGTCGTCAACTACAATTTTTATATAATTTTCTTTTTATATTGAAACGAGTTTTATGGTTGATCTCGGACTGCGTCCGAGAGCAAATTTTTAATTAATTTTTATATATTTTATCTATATAACATTTCCATTGTTATCTTTGAGTCACATTGAAAATGATCCAACAGGAATCGAAACGTTTGTGTTTGTTCACTTGCTGACGATCAAATTATATTTCATGTTTTTTAATTTCACACATGACATGTTTTATTTTATTTTTTAACTATTTAATACAAATTTGTTATTTTATGATAATTGTTTTAGGCTCGTAGCCCTTTGTCTTTTTATTTATTATATTAGGTGTTGGAATTAATTCGTAGCGTTTTACAAGTGATGGGAAGTACTTTCATTAATGTATTTTTTAATGCTCATGTGAAATAAATAACATTCTTTCATTAAAAACGCTACGAATTAATTCCAACACCTAATAATTTATCATATTTAATTTGATGATGTTAGAAGCAAGAAGACATATGTTAAAAGTTCTTACAAAATATTTTAAAATAAAAATATTTTTCAACAAATCAATATTTACATTTGATAAAATTTACTTGTAAAATAATCCAAAACTGTTCTTTTATTTCAGAATAGATTAAAATTATATTTATATTTATATTAATTATATGTATATTAATTTGATACCTGTCACACAGTTTGTTTCGTTTTTTAATTAAGCATACTTTAATTTTAAATATGTATATGATTATTTATTGATTGCTAAAATATAAGGGGATTTTTTGGTATATTTTTATAAATTATATTCTATTAATATTGCAAATGTTATTTTATTAAGAAATAATTATTTAAAGATATCATGAAAATGTTATAAAACTCAATTTTAACAGAAATACAACTTTTTTACGCCATTACATCGATCAATTTTTTTTATATTCTTGATATGCTTTATTATGTCAATAGGAGATAATAAGGCACAATTTTTTCTATAAATTGCCAGTCAACTAAGAACTTTTAACTTTTTAGACGCTACATGACATATCACACAGTAATTTCAAACGAAAAAAACAGTATGAAGACTGTAATTTTCTTATTTGGACTTGTCGCAATTATCATTTCAACTAATGGAGAATCTACTGCTGTTACCGAAGCTACTGCGAAAGCTCATCCTGAAACTACTGCCAAAGCTAATCCTGAAACAACTACTGAAACTAATCACGAAACTGTTCCAAAAACATTTTTTACGTTCTTTACAGAGAAATTTAAGGTCAGTATAAGGAATAGCATCTACGATATAAATTAGAAATAAATAATTTTATTTCTCTAATTTAAAATAATCGGCTCTGCATTTTAAGAATATTTTATTATTCATTTATTTACAATTGTCTATATATAAAAATAAAGATAAGTAATCAAATATTTTTTCATACTTTGTAAGTCTATAACTTATAATTTGTCCATTGTTTGTCATTTATTGTTGCCAGAAAATGAAAAATTAAATTAATTTACAATTAAAAAGATTTGTTTATATCTTTGCACAAAAATACATCATTTGAAATGTTTTTACGTTCTTTACTATCGAATCATGTTTAATCTTGTAATTTTTTTATTTCGTGATATACATATTTAAAAAATTTTATAAGATGACAAATTAAAAATAATCACATGTGACATAATATTTTAAGGCTCTTGTAACATAATTTTTATTAATGTAAAATTTTATGTTATCAATGAATCAATTAATTTTAAGAAATGTATATTTGTAGTTATTCAAGCCGAAACGTGTACCAAATGAAAAATGGGGAAATGTAAGGTAATAATAAATAAAAAAGTAATATGATATAACATTTTTAATTTTTTTAATATCATTTTTATATTAATGTTAAATTTTTATATTATCAATTTTTATAAATCAATTAATAGACAGAGAAAGTAACTAATTTTTTTAACATCTTTACTAATTGCTTTCCTTATTATTACTTTGTCATTAGAATGATTTGACAATGACGAATTTTTTTATGATTGTAACTAAAGGATGGTTGTAACATCAGGATGGAAAATCATTCGATTATTTGTAGTCAGTTGGAAAAGTTACTCGCTACTGAAAAAATTAATTCGACATTTGGAATTCGTTACTTTTCAGTCGTTACTTGAAACGAGTAACATTACTCGTTATGGCACTAGACACGGAAACGCTTACTACGCGATAGTCAATAAGCTTACAGTTCCTAACACTCGCGTGTTGACTATCGCGTCGCATTTTGCCGCGTGGTAAGCATTTCCGTGACCAGTATGCAGGAATCATTATTCATTACAAATTACTTTTTTTGATAAGTAAACGCATAACGATGTAAGTTACTTTTTAAAGTGACTTTTCCAACCTTAGCGCAATCTCAGCGTTTATTTATCATTATAATCATAAAAAATTGCAACGTCATTATCAAATTGTTATTATAAAATATAATGGTAACGGAAGAGTAACTTTTCCATTCTCTTCTAAGAGATTTATTTAAAAAATATACATTTATATTGTAGGAAAGAAAAGAAGGAGGAAAAGAAACCTTAATATAAGATCATGCTAAATGCAAAGATCAAAAATATCGTTACATATATAAATGAAAATAAGAAGTAATGAAATTTTGTTAATGTCTAATATATAACATATTGTCAACTATGTTTGCAAAAATAAATATTTGTTAATTTCAAATAAATACAATAATAAAATAAATGTCCTATTTATTAAGTTGATTAACCATCTTGTGTATTTCATGCAAAATTTTTAAGTGTAACAAAGCAAAATATATGTTTCATGTTGAAACTTGAAACATCAAATGTTTCCGATTAATACGGATATAAATGACGGGGAAAAAAATGACTCGCAGCGTACTACACGAAATGAAGAATACGGGATTAAAAATTATAATAGTATTGTAATATCATGTATATATTTTTGGTTTAGAACGATGTTTAAATATTACGACAACATTGAAAATGACTCGATCGGAGTCGAAATGTTTGTATTTGTCAATTGTAATTGTTATATGAATTTTTAATTTCAATTTAAATTAAAGTTCTTTGTTACATTATTGGCTCTTTGCCCTTCTTTTGTACTACACGAATAAAAATACTCTAAAAAATTACGATTCTATTATATATAGAGGTATTAAAATATATCACACTACGTGCACATTAAATTTTTAAACATTTTTTTATTGATACACAATAAAGTTAAAATTGCTGTAAAATGACTTCCCTACTTTTATGTCAACAGATTATGCACAAAAATGTTATGCACATATTGATATTAAAAATAAACTTTGATAAATTTTCTGTATACATTTGTTAAACACATTTTTTTTATTATTCTGCCGTTTTTTTAATACTAATTATTCATAGATTATATTAAATTTTTATGTATAAATATCTACGGGTACTTCTTACAAAAGTAAAAAATCTTATAAAAAAATTACATATGTGCATTTCGCGGGTTATCTCCGTGTTTATATAATTTTATATACATATATATACAGATATACATACATACACACACTCACATACTCTATTGTTTATAAATTCGAAAATATTTTCAATTTTTTCACATTTCATAAAAAATTAATTTTAAAAAGTCTGCTCTGTATATTTTTCCACAATCATTTATAATTTTATTATTATTATTATTTCTTTTAATATTTTTAATAATCTTTTAATATTTTTTAAACAATATTCAAAATAAAATGATATATGTGTGTAGTTCATATATTTATATGACTCGATAATTTTTACATAATTTATAAATATTTATTATTATATACAAGAAATTTAAATAATTACTTGTTAAGAATTGTATCATTTTTGTCTGCTGTCATAATATTGAAAAATATTACTGTAGAATAATTATAAAATCAAATATATTATCTTTAAATTTTTCCATATTGTTTTAAAATTTAAAATTTTAATTTGATTTAAAAAAGTTGAATATACCAATAAATATCTGAAATGAATATGGTAGATGATGCAAAAGAAAAAAAGAAGCATACACTAAAAAACAAGTTCAAAGTTGTGAAGGATTAAAACAAGGATAAATGAATAGTGGCCTGGACCGCTGAAAATAAAACGCAGTAAAGAGTAGCCGGTCGAGCTTGTGAGAAAATAGGTAGGAGAGTCTACAGAGAAGAGTTTGTAAGAAGCGCGTCTCTTGCGCAGAGGAAAGAGAAATCTTTTATTCTCGAACGAGTGAGAGAAATGAGACGAGATCTTGTTAGCCCTGAACTTGGTCACGAGGATAGCTGATGATCTTCTGTAGCTTGGAAGCAAGACTGGACTTATTTTTCCATCAAACTGCTAGAAATTTTTAATTTTTATCTTTTACTTTAATCGAAAAAAATCAAATTTTTAATCACGATTAAATAAACAGATTTTGTTTTCATTATATGTGCATTTGGTGAGACACAACGATGCATATTCCAACCAAAAGAGAGAAAGAAAGAAAGAGAAAGCGAACTACATAATCTTTTAATTATAAATACAGAAGTATAAGTCAATAATTGATTGAGGAGCCTCAAAGCAATCGCACGATTATCCATCAAGGACATTTTTAACCAATTAAATCTCTAATATACAAATTTGCCTCCCAGTTAATTTCAGTTGTGATAATAAACTGATTCTGGGACACCATATGTATCGGAAAATGTAGGACGATGTAGGATATATTTCTGTTGATAATAATTGTAACCCGCTTTTACCGTCTCTCGCATGCATGTATTTTCCAGCAAATGCATATGCTTCCCAGAGTCCCGCGAGCTATCTTTAGCACAATAGTCATAGTTGCAGTTGGTAGAAAAAATCTCAGAAACGATGCCGTCAATCTGTCTCGCGAAACCAATCATCATGGCGATTTTAAACAGATGCGATTCATGGTCTCTCTTTCTCTTTCTCAACCATAGACATGTGTGGAGAAAACGGCTTTCGATTTGAGAGATGCGTCAGCTGATTGCGTTAAACGCCCGCTCCTAGGAATATTTAGAAAACGAGTCGTAAATAGCTAATGGGTCAATAAAGTTGCGCGCAGGGTACGAAGTCCGCGAGACGCAATTGGGTTTACGAGATGTTACAACTAGGAAGGTTCACGGACGCATGCGAGAGTTGACGAGAAAGCGACACGCAAATGCGTGTTGGCAGAGACACGTTAAAATCGACAACGTCATTACGGTAGCTATTCTCTATCAGAAAAGTACCTGCAATCGCGATTTGTTGCGACGTCTTGAACTTCTTAAATTATACACTTTAAATTATACACATTGAATTTTTAAGGATCATTCGTGTCTATCAGATTGAGCTTGTATGATATTAAATTACCTAACGTATTCGAAGACATGCTAAAAAATGTCTTTAACGTCTATAGACGCGTAAATACAACTTGTGATGAGTGCAATCATGTTTTGATAGCACATACATATAATGGCATGTATCATGCAGAGTGTATATTATCAGTAATAGTACTGATGAGTCATAACTTCGAGTCTTGCAACTTCAATATATACGAGTCTACATTCAAGAAATTAACAAATGTACATCTCATTCTGCATATATGCACATCGTCAAATATCTTTTACTTTCTAAATAAATTACCCATCTATTTGATTTTATTATCATCTAGCCATAAGGATTTTAATACGAGATATTTTTCGTTGTGCGTTATTATACGCATATGACTAAATTTTCTATATATTCATTTTATTTCTGCGCCCTAACAACTCTGTACTTGATGCTTTTTTAATTATTTGTCATATTTCATTATGATCTATTTCTTAATATATCTCGATTCGGATTAGTACAGACAGAAAAACACGAAAAGAGCGGAAGTTCGAATAATCACACGCTTATCACGAAAGGAGGCGATGACAGGCGTGATTTTGTCTGATTCGATTGATCAATTAAAAAGTACGATCGGCCACTAACTGGCAAACGATGATTAATCTGAACGCCGGGATACAGAACAAAATTCGTTTGTAAAAATCACAGCAAGAGGCAAGTGGCGGAACAATTCGAATTTGCTGGCAGTCAGCTCACGTAATGAATCAACTCGCTCATAAATTCCGTAACGAGTCCTCGTCGCACGTAATCGTGAAATTATGTCGTTGGAACATTACGGAATGCAGATTGCGCAAGAACAATTAAGTCTGTTAAAGCACGTGGTCAACGATAGTACGGGAAAGCATAGAATAATGATGCGTCCGGTATACTTTTGTTTGTTTAATTGGCCTGAAAAAAAATGCGAGAATTATATCCACGATTATGCATTCCTTATTACTGTGTAAAAATCGCAATTTTGCATTTTACATTCATTGTGTTTTGATACGCTCAGCAATACAAGTTCAATCCCATTCGGAGAAATGTTTGATATGAATGAATTTTCTTATTTTTTAGAATTGTGTTATTCTAATTAGACTTTATGGAATCGTGAATTAAAGTATTAAAATTTTAATCAGAGAACAATAAAATTTTTTAATTAGAGAAAGTAAGAAAGTTTTGTAAATTACATATTAAATAAATGATTACTAAACATTTCTCTCAGTGCCTAATTAGAGCATGATGTATAAATATGAGTGATTTTAGAAAATTGCAAAGATTAATTCGTAATAAATTTAGCAATAATGAGTTAAAGAAATCGACATTGACATCGTTTAGATTTTAGAAGTTATTTGAATTTTTCATCGTATCGGATATTATTCAAAACAGTTTCTTTTTACGACGATTCGTCTTTCATATACGTTAGAGAGACCGTAGTTTTACGTTATTATTGCCGCATTAATATGTTTTTTGCATGATGATATTGCCCGATTATTCATGTGCCAGTAACGATGAGTATTATTTAAACCAACTTCCTGCGAGTCCCACTTTGTGTGAAAGGAAGAATCATTACTTGCGGTTCTTTCGAGCTACTATCGACGTGACTCTAAACCCCGTATTGACCCAGACTGCGTGAGTCGAATGCTTCTATCATTGCATACTCTTGTCCAGGATCATTCATGGACGAAGACGTGTTAGTCACGTGTTCACGTATGCCGCTGGGTCAACGGCTTATTGCGCGAGAATTTCCCCATACCTAAGTGAGAAAACTATCATCTTTGAAGAAGATCAAATCACAAATCACGGAATAATACGAAACGAGAAAAAATTCGAAGAAAAAGAATGAGAAAGAAAAAGTAAGTAAAGCCGCGACAAGTTGTATCGATTTTTAATATCTGTAAATAATTTGCTATCTGTAGATTTGTATTATAAAATATTAAATAGATCTCTTGAAAGAAATATCAATCTCTCAGGAGGATTTTTACGAAGCAAAAATACTCTTTGGAGAGAATTCTCTCGAGAAAGAGCCCCGAAAGAATTCATAAATAACCTAATTTTCTTTTTTTTTCCCTTTTCGTGACCACACATTTTGATTGTTCCTGATAATTTGTTGCAGCATGGTTATTGCACTTTGCGAAGATTTCGCATCACAAGTACACTGTTTGTCTGAGGTCGTGAGAGAGACCATCAACGTATACATTCACTCGTAAAAGCTACTATTTGAGAAATTGCATGTTACCTTCTTTTAAAAAAGACCTAAAAAGACTTTAGAAGAGAATGGAGA